GGGGGTGGGGTTTGTGGGACAGGTATGGGGTGTTAATGTGTCACAAGTTCCCAGAGTGTGGGGGAGGGTGTTTGGGGGTAGGGGTGTGCAGTTTGGGACAGTGTGGCTGTGGGGTTTGTTGGGGAGGATGTGTGGGTATGGTGGGTTGTGCATGTGGGAGCCTATATGCTCCCACCTCTTCTTCCCCCGCCCCCCATGGTACACAGTATCTCAGGATACTCATGGCCTGTGCAGGTGAAGTCCCCTGGCAGCACACCGCTCCAGCCACTTCCGGGAGCTGCACATGGCAGCAAGGCACAGGGCTCCCTGCATCTTGCATGTAGCTCCCAGGACTTGGCCAGAACAGCACACTGCATGGGAGAGCCCTACATGATTGAGCTGGTGGCCTGGCCCTGCTTCCTGTTACCACATGCATTTCCCTGGACTCCACCAGAAAGGAGGGAGCAGAACTGCCCTGGCTCCATGTGGAGCACCACTACACTCCACTTCTGAAGTCCCAGCAGCTGCACATGACAGCAGGGAGTGGGGAAGGAAGCCAGCTCCATCACACAGGGCTTCTCCTTGGTGGTGCACAAGTCCTGGGACCTGCACAGGAGCCAAGAGAAGCCCTGTACAATGGAACTGGGGTGACCCATGCTCTGTGTCCCTGCCACCATGCTGGTCATGGGGTCCACAAACTAAGCTCTACACTCCCACCCAGCTGCTACTTCCCTCTGTCTGCTGCCTCTTCCCTAATTGTTGTCTGGAGTGCTGCAGTAGGGACACAAGGAGGAGCTGCTGGAGGCTGGGGTAGCTGAGCAGTTCCCTGGGTGGTGGCGGCAGCAGCAGCAGTCCTGCTTGGAAGCTATATGCTTGGCTGGGGCTGGAGCTGGAGCGCTCTCTCACATGAGGATGGGAATGTAGTGCACTTGCTCAGCAGCAGTGGGCAGGGCTCAGCCCCATGTGGAATGCAGCAGGGGCAGCCAAGGGCAGGGCTGGATACAATTAATTGGTGGCCATCCATCCATGGGTTGGATGAAATCACTTGGTGGACTGGATGCAGCCCACAGGCCATATTTTACCTGTCCCTGGTGTAACAAGACTGCATTATCAAAGTCAGAGAAAGATCTTGTGGTTACCAAAATGTGCAAGTAGCTAAGAAGGCTAATATTGGAGTGATTGCTTGGATTCACAACAACTCGGCATCTGAACTAATGCCTCTTCCATCATATTTGTATTTGCATTTACATGGTTATATTGTGTCTTGCTAGGAGAACCGTGTCAGTAAAGCAGTAGAAGTAATGATTCAACATGTGGAAAATTTGAAACGCATGTATACCAAAGAACATGCAGAACTTGAGGAGCTGAAACAAGTTCTACTTCAAAATGAAAGATCATTTAGCTCTCTTGGAGACGGAGGTAATTCTGTTGAGAATCAGGAGCACATTTGTCTATTTTAAAAAAACAAAACAAAACCCTATCCTGACAGTCACATACATGGACATCTTTGCAGAAGCTGATGTTAATGTTTTATTTCTTCTTTTTGGCTACAGAGATTTAACTTGTTGAAAGGAGAGGAGATCCTAGACCCATAGGTCAATAAGACCAAGTCACAATTGTAGGTGGCAGGTTATCTTATCAAAAGAGATGGGACTGTCTCTGTATTGATGTTCTGCAGCATGATTTTTTTTTTAATTAATTTTTGAGGCGCTGAGATGCAGTTAACTTTAGTGGAAACTGTAGTTAGCCAGGTTTTATGCTGTAGTAGCAACTTTTTTTTATGAACCTACTTATATCTGTTCCTCTTCACAGATGAATCTGCAAATAAAAGTCTTCCAAGTTCTCTCAATTACAAGGTAACGATATAACACTAGTTATTAAGGCCAAATGATTCATGCTCTGTATGTTCTTTGTCTGCCTTTTTATATGAGTATTTTACTGGTGTAGTAGTAGTTTTCCACTGAACTCTAGATTCTTCAAACCTTGAAAAGTAATCTAACTATCTTGGTCACACTAACATTTCACTCTTTTTCATTGAAAAGATGATATACTTGCATTTACAAATTTGTAAATTGATTTGTTGAGGTTTAAACCCTTGTGCTCTCCCTTTTTTTGTGTTCAAGAGCTATTGCTTACAGGGGGTTCCCTTTGTTTAAGGACCTTGAGAACAAAGTGTTTAGCAATCAGGAAAAAATGGAATCGGTTCAGGAAAGGAGCAGTAGCAATATTTTGAGCATCAGTCTGTCAAAGTAGAAAATTAACAAGTTAATGTGTGAAGATTCCTTGTTGGAGCACATTACATCTGTTTCAATTGGCATAGGTTGTCCTTTATTTGTGTTGAAGCTTAATATTAACAAAATCTTTTTTTTACTTGCCAATCTTCTTCTACGTTTTTGTACAGCCTAGCCAGTGCATAAGTTAGTATTACCACTTTTTTATTTATGTAGCCCTCACTACGAAGAGTTAGCATTGCAACGTTGCCCAAAAGTACTGGAAATGCTGGCATTGGTCTGTCACTGGTGAGTAAAGTTTCTCATTCTAGTTGTCTACTTGGGTTTTTAATATTTCAAAAGCAAAGGAAACCTCTCTACACTTCCCCTACAGGCTCAGCTAAATGAAACTGGTGGACCAGAAAAGAGTGACAAATTCAACAGGAGATCAAGCAGTTGGTAAGGCTACTTGGGTCTTGTTCTTAAACAGAAGCTGAGGTTTTCGGTAGGCCTGTGAGAGTCACCAGTGATCTGATCTGGCTGCTTCGGATGCCAGGGATCCAATCTGGAGCTCCAGACCAGGTTTCCACCTCGATCCAGCTGAAGTGGCTCTGAAGCTTCAGAGCCACCTTGGAGATCTGGCCATAGGGTATAATGGGGGAATCAATGAAATATCTAGAACTTTGACTGATTTGGATGAAACTTTCAGGGATGGTAGCCTCTGCTGACAGCATGAAACCTGCCAAGTTACAAGATCAGTCCAGGGGTTTGGGGGAACTGTACCCCAAATTCTTGAAAGCCAAACTCCTGTCACGGCTGTTGCACCACAGGGGGGTCAAAATTACAGGGCTCATAGCTTTTACTGAGGCCACAAAGCCTGCCAAGTTTCAAGGAGATAGGTGTGGGCAGTTGGGGGGAACTGCACTTCAAGCTGTGGACAATCAGAACTCATGAGTTGGGTGACCCTGTGTGTGTTAAGGCACAGCAGGGTGAAAGCTGCAGGGATGGTGGCCCCTGCTGAGGCCACGAAGCCTGCCAGCTGTTGAGGAGATGGGTGCAGGGGGGTTCTGGGGCCCTGCACCCCTAGCTGCTGATGGGCAAAACTCATGCCATGGGTGCTTGTGGGATTGATGGTCTGTCTTGGGGCAGTTGATTGTCTGTATTGATTATTTCCTCTCCTTAGCCTGGTTTTGTAGGTGCTAATTGATGGCAATTAACTGGTTACATTAGCTAGATCTTGTGTATTGAGCTGGTCCCCGAGTGCATGATGATTGATTGGTAACTGGTAACACAGTAGCTTTAGTAGCCAGGCCTGCAGTAGTGTCTCCCATACCCCAAGATGGAGACTGACAATCAGTCAGTTCCACAAGCACCCATGGCATGAGTTTTTTGCCTATCAGCAGCTAGGGGTGCAGTGCTGCAGAACACCCCTGCACCTATCTCCTCAACAGCTGGCAGGCTTCATGGCTGCAGCAGGGGCCACCATCCCTGCAGCTGTCATCCCACTG